TATTATCTCAATACCAATTGCCGCGAGCGCTCAGATTCATACAAAGTCACGGAAACATTGACAGCATATCTGCGCGAAAATTCCTCGAAATTGCTTACAATTCAAATGATATCAAACTTTTTTATTCCGTTTATAAATTCTTTGAATTAAGAAACCTTCGGATTAGAGGATCGCCTGAATTTGCGAGCGGTTTGTACTGTATTTTCGTTTAATTAAATCATTTGTTAATTAATTAATTGTTTATTTTGTTTCAATTATAGGCGAACATTGCGAGACTTTTGTTGAACACTTCCAGCGATTTTTTGGCACACAATCGAGTCTCGTTGCAAATACTGAGCAAATCATCAAATAGGGTAAAAAAGGAATAATGCAATACTTTAACTGTGATATTGATTATACAGTAAATATAAGAGAGTATAAAATAAGAATATTTTAAAATAAAAGTTTTATGAATTGAAGCACTTGTTTATATTTTGCCCAAAACCTTAGCCAAGAGAGCCATCCGGACGTACATTCCGTTCTCTGCTTGAGTGAAATAAGCGGCTCTTTTGTCCGAATCAAAGTCAGGCCTAAAATAGAGAATAAAATATGAATTTATATTACAATTAAATTGCATGCGAAGAGTGTATGGACTGTACTGTATTTCATTGAGTCGCGGCAAGGGATGCATAACAATCATTTTAGGCTTGGCTTTAGTCATGAGTTGTGGGGTCACTATATAGTGGTCACAACACGACCGGTACTTGTCTTCGTTCTCAAATCTTTCCTTTTGAATGCGAGTCATATACAGGACATCTGTTTCGGGTAAGGCGTCCACCAATGATGTCATTTCCCTGAATCCGATGTCTTTCTTCCTTAAGTACTCTTTCACTTCTTCAGGCATTCGGAGCTGATCTGGAGATACGAATTGTAGCGATATTTTGTTGTAATGTGTGAGTAAACGGGCCAATGAGTGCACAGTCCGGCCATTTGCCAGATCTCCCACTAATGTAATCTAAAACAGGATTAAAATTTGTAATTAGTGGACAGCAAATATAAATGATAGACGTTTTTAATTACCACTAAGTTATTGACAGTTCCGATCACTTCTCTTATGGTGAATATGTCGAGCAATGCTTGTGTCGGGTGTTCTCCCACACCATCGCCAGCATTGATGATAGGTTTGGTCCACTTTC